GTTAACACAGGTACGAACGCAGCTACCTACAGCAGCAGCAGCTTTAACGACGGCGATAATATAACGGTGACAGTGACCAGCAATGCACTTTGTGCAACACCTGCAACAGTAACCAGCAATACCCTCACAGTACACTACTCAACCGGTATCCCGGAAGCAGGAAATGATTCTTACAGCTTTCAGATCTATCCAAATCCGGCGAAGGACAAGGTGGTGATTAGCGCCGATTTTAAATATCCTTTAACCGGCGAATCTATAACTGTTGAAATGGTTGATATGGTGGGTAAGCGGATCGTATCATCTGGCCAGTTAGCAATAACGGGTAACAAGCTGGTTCATGAACTTCCATTACCAGCATCCATCGCTGATGGCACTTACCTGATTAAACTAAACTGCAACGGGGCACATTTCATAAAGAAAATTGTGGTCAGCAGGTAGTTAAATGAATGACTTCATAAAACAGGGCTGTCTGATTTTTTCAGACAGCCCTGTTTATTAATAATAACAACTGATCAAGGCGTTCAACACGCTACACTTAACCTAATTTGAACGTGACGGGCAATGCATAAGCGACGGCTACATTCTTTCCATGATCGGTTGCGGGTGTCCATTGCGGCATGCTGCGCACTATTCTCATTGCCTCTTCATCCAGCTCTTTAACTCCGGAGGAGATATCCACTTTAGGTTCTTTGACGTCTCCGTCCTTATCCACGATAAAGCCGATAACTACCCTGCCTTCTTTCTGTTGCAGCCTTGCGGTTTCAGGGTATTTCATATTAGCACCGAGCCATTGATACAAGTCCCCTTTAAATGCCGGCTTTTGCGCTACACTTGCAGCTGCCTTTACTTCCGTTGCCGGGTCCTTCTTTAAGCTGCAAGACTGTACCCAGATGGTGGCAATTGTCATGGCTATAGTTACTCCTGTTGCAAGTATCAACCTGCCTTTACCTGCTTGCGATGTTGTTGTTTGCTGTAACATGATAATCCGGTTTTTTATTGATTGGTGAAAAAAAGAATGAGTGATAGAATATTGCCGGGTACCCATCACTTCATCCAGCAACCTGAATACGTAATGGTCAACATCGGCCCCGGCAGCCATTTCATCTGCCTGGTATTCGTGGATCATTTTCAGATCGGCGGCAAGCACATGCAGGAACGGGTTCGGCCAGCAGATAATCTTTAAAAATTGCAGCCCCAGCAGATCATAATGATGACGCTGCCTGATATGGGCGAGCTCATGTTTCAATATGTTTTCATCGGCTTGCTCAGCCGGCAGGAAGACCACAG